CGCGACTTTAGGACTATTTCGTTGTTTTATAGGGTTTAATATGGTTTTGTTTCTGATGTTTTTATAGGACTACTGTGTCGTATATCATCGGGTGCGTCATGGTTCCCATGTCGTCATCGCTACATTTCGTCAGCCTGTTGCATCTGTTTGAAACGGCAGTGTTCTTTAATGTTTTTTTATGCGTCTGCGTTTCGTCGGCAGCTGTTTTAGTTTGGGTACAAATTCGGATGAAAGTAATTGCGATTGGCGATTTTTATGGTGTACGGTTCTGCGCATGATGTTTGCAATGTTTGACAAGCGCAATGATATTTGCAATTTGCGAATATGCGAATTTTGTTCCTACGTTTGGGGATTAGAACATGCATGTTACGTGATTAAGGGCCGGTTTATAGAACAGCGAGTTAAATATTTAATCCTCGATTAGTTTAACAGAGAATTAAAATGTGGAATATGAGTCCGTGATTGGTTAAAATATCCGCGTTACCTGGCAACGGACCTCAGTTAAAAGTTAATCGCGAATTAACTTTAACTTCGCTTTCTGTAAATCGGGTTTCAGATTTGCAAATTTTCGAATTTTGTTGTTATGTTCTGAGGATTTGTTATTCGTCTTTTTGTTATGATTTTCTCGTGAACGAATTTAGTGGCGGCTCCTCACAACACTCCTTAGCAAAAAGTAAAATGCGAGCACCTAAATGTTCACAGTTTTACTACTACGTCCCTAATATGGTTTTCTATCTGTTTTATTAGCAAAACTTTCCTATTATTTCTGATTGTTAAATTCTTACGGATATAAAAGTTGTGCCAATAATACTTGCGCTCTTCTGGTTGTGACAAGTGTGCATCTCCATGGGTTGTTAATTTCACTTTTTTGGTCCAAGGTTATTGTGGTGGGCAACTCGATGACTACCGTTTAGCGAGGAGTTACACCTTGATATATTTTTGTGCACGTTGGAGTTTGTATGAGGGCGAGGAGGCATTTTTTGGTTTTGCCTCTCTGTTGTGTTCGCTTGTGATCGGCTCGTCTGAGTGCAAGTGATCTGCTCTATGGCTTCATATACTCGGGCTGCTTGGTGTTGGTAACCTCTCCTCGAAATTTCGTGATTGGTCTCGGAGTGTCATGACCGGCTGATGCTTCCTTGTTTGCCATGTAGACGAGGTTCTCCTTGCAGATGGATCACCACGTTATGTTGGAGGAAGTTCGTGCCAACAAGGTGAGGCTTTCTGGGGAAGTTGAGGGTACTTCCAGAAAAGTTGGTGTTGTGGGTGTGGATTGCGTGTCCCCACTGGCTGGATTTTTTGTGTTGTGGAGCCCCTCGATATAGGTTGATCATGCAACATAAAAGTAAATTAATGATAATCAGACCGAACATAATCATTAGGATATCATTGTATTGCTCCAGTTCATTGAAAATTTGTGCTGATGAGCACCTTGGTTGATATGCGAACCCTAATGCATCTATCTTTCTTGGCTGATAGAAGGGTAAGGGGGTACATGATTACAACATTCCAGGCGCTTATTAATGCTTGTCCGAACGAGGGGTCATTCCTTTAAATTAGTCAAAGTTAACTTTAAAAAACAGCTAGACAGATATATATTGTTAACAGGGTTTTGGTAAGTGGAATTTTTTACCAAAGGAGGTTGTGTTGAGTGACTCGGTTTTAAGTTTCAAATGTAGCTACGATCAGTACAGGTAGGTATTAACGTTGCGCTAGCATAACAGGCACAGACCTCTGCCCGATCGCAGTTTCATAATAATAATAATAAATTAAAATACGAATAAAATTGTTATATATTTGTCGTAAATTAGGTATATCAGCTGTATTTAAAAGTTTACGAACATTGTTATCAATCAATTGCAATTCACAGAAGATCGTTAAAAGTTGTTATGTTCATGGAATGAAATTGTGAATCCTTTAATACAAATTTTTCCAGTGATGAATGTGCTACCACTTTTCCACAAATTAACAAGCAGAGCTTAAAAAACGGAGTCAGAAGTAACATATACAGGGTGACTGCGAAATAAGTGCAAATATTTTAACCACGGCATCCCCCACCCTAGTAGAGCCGAAATATAGAAAAAACAAATTAAAAATCGAATGGGGCAAAACCCCCATGAACCACCCTCGATACGAAGGCACTGTAAACAGAGTTGGAAAAACGTTCGAATAAAAACGACCTAAACACTTTCAGTTTCAATTAAAAGTAAAACCTACTTTTTGCTGATTATCATTCGTTCATTCATTTACTCATTTATCGTTAAAGGTCACTGTGAAAGTTTTTTGGTAATTTTGATTCTGACGGATGTTTGGTCCTTGTCACAACGATTTTACATTGTTTATTGGAACAGAAATAAGAGCAACTTAGAATGCTACTACCTTTTTACAAGAAATGTTGAAAATGTTGTCCTTGACTAGCAATACAGGCGTCAGAGCGTCGCAAGAGATTTGTTGATAGGTAAAAACTACTTTCACTCGTTGAAGCTCTTCGATAATTTCTGGACACTGTTGATTTCCACAAACGAACTGTTTCATCCAACCGATACACATTTATCGAAAACCGTCTCTTGCAATCGTACTTGTTGACGAGCATGTGGAGTTTGATCGGACAAAAAGTGAGTTACACAACGTGGACAATCAGCGGGCTCCAAACCCTTTACTTTGTCAACATGGTATGGATGTGGCCGTATTCTTTTAATGTAGGATGCACTACAAGCTGTGAAAATCCAACTTCTTCTTTCTGTCCTATCACGGCCACGATCGTGAGTTTGAAGTTGAAGGTACCATGATCTCGGAGTTGCTGTACCACTGATGCAAATGTTCGCCCACAACACCAATTACCATATCGACACAATCTGCATGGGAAAACACCACCATAAACCGATTTCACCGACCGCTCGATGCTAACTGGCCCTTTTCGTGTTTTTCACGTTGCGATTAAAAAAGTGCCTGATAAAGTCACTTTTTTGTTTCTTAATCCGACTCGCTCTGTTCCATTCATTGTAGTAATTATGTAGGTTACAAAACAGTCCAGCGGCGCGTACAACAATTTACATTTAATTTCAAATAATTTTTTCTAGACACTGCTACTACTTAGGACCGTGAATTTTACCCAGTGACATAATCATATGGTGAGCTATTCCCCATTTTTTTTTTCATGTATTTGGCAAACACCTTGTATATGTTACAGCTAATATCCGAAATCCGTTGTTATGCATAATAACTAGACATTTTAGGAATTACGCGTAATAACTAAACTTGTCAGTTATTATGCATAACAACCGGAAAGATTAGGAATTATGCGTAATAACTGAAATTTTCAGTTATTATGCATAATAACGGAAACATTTAGGTAATATTGATTATAACTAACAGAGGAACAGGAATTATGCATAATATTTTCAAAAAAGCTACCCACCCTGCCTCGCTTTCCCCTACATATCACATGTACAGTTGATTTAAAAAAAAAAAAAAAACGGGACAAATGACAGTAACATAAACGTCATATTCCCATTGCCTTTCATTGATCTATGAGAACCTGATTTGCCCATTTTTTGTGAAATCAGCTGGGCATGTTAGGCAATATGCTCAATGACTAATGTTTCAGGTATTATCCATAATTCCTGTTCCTCTGTTAGTTATTATCAATATTACCTAAACGTTTCCGTTATTATGCATAATAACTGAAAATTCCAGTTATTATGCATAATTCCTAACCTTTCCGGTTATTATGCATAATAACTGACCAGTTTAGTTATTACGCATAATTCCTAAAATGTCTAGTTATTATGCATAATAACGTATTTCGGATATTAGCTGTAACATATATATATATCTCAAATAGATCTCCGAAATGCATGTGCACTGCAGTAACTTTTTATTCACAAAAGCTAACAAGTTTTCTGAATCGGTAAAACCTTGCAGTATAAATCATGTCAACAGAACGGAAGTGTCTGGATTGTTATTTACTATTTATTTTATTATCTAATTCAGATAAATGTTGCTGTGCGTCAATTCAAATACGTAAAACTAGTATATTAAGGAATAAAGAAAATAACTTGTTTTAAAACTTCTAAAAATTTATGTGTCACTGATATTTCTCAAAATACTTAAAAACGTATATTTCGTATTTATACGGATACCGTTAACTATGGAGGTAATATCACTAATATTGCTACTGTAACTGAAATATAACTAAAATAAAATAATTTTTTACTAAATTTATGAGTGACAACAAATGTTTAATAATGCTGCTCAGTTGTTATCAGTATTTTATATTTTTTGGTTCTCAATTTTTTATATGTGTGTGTAAATATGTTGTTTTCAAAATATATTATCAATATTTGTTACATTTTTTTAGAGGCATATCTTATTTTGAGCTAGGAAGTCCAGATCACACATTCATATTTTGTAGATTCCATCAGATGCTAAAAGAATAATACACTTGGAAATTTTTTACAAGTATAAGGGTCTGTTTAAAAAAAATCCAAATTAGACCATTTGCCTCATAGGGGATTCGGAGGAAACTACGTTTTTAGCGCTATAAAAATTATTAATGTATTTATTAATGAAATTTCCATTTTTTTGGAGGCTTCCATTAATAAGTGTCTTGTGCACACAAAATTAAAGATAAAGATTGATTATTTAATTTCGTTATATGTACTGGCTAAGTTAAAATAATAAGTACCCTTTTGAATGCTGGAATTGGCCAGACTAAATACGGTAATATTAATGATTACAGAACATATATGAAACCTTTGTAACTGGATTTTCTCAATTTATAAATTGACTCGTGCTAACGGGGAGTGTCTAGAATATTTACTATTTTATTATCTACCTCAGATAAATATTGTATAATAGTGTGCGTCAATGTAAGTACGTAATATCACTTCATTCAGGAATAAGAAAGATAACTACTTTTTATCACTTCTAAAAAATCACATACATATTACAATGATTTATGTCATTGATATTTCTCCAAATACTTAAACACCCATGATATTTCGTATTTATTCGACGGCAGTAACTAATACTTGTTATTAGTAGGAGTGTTGTTGGAGGAGAAAAATCTATTGCTATTACATTGCTACGATAGTTAAAATGGATACAGTGGTATGTAACTAGAACAAACTATTTTTTTGCTTAATTTATGTAACATTTATTACGCGTTTTATATAATATGGCTAATGTTTCATATTATGTAGATTCCGTCAGATGTTCAAAACAATGTGGACAGCGTTCCAAATCCTCAAAGTACCCCAGATACAACTGATGGATCTGAGAAACAGGACAAACGTATTGAGGAGAAAGTAATCGTCAATCAACCCACTCGATCGAACAATAGTACAACTATCATTATTAACGACGATCCTACAGGAGTCTGTTTAATTTGTTGCTGTTTACCCGATCATCATCATCATCATCATCATCACCATGACAGTACGGATGGCAGTTGCTGTACTTGTGACGGCGATGGTGGTTGTTGCTGCTGCGACGGGGACGGTGATTGCTGTGACTGCGATTGTGATTGTGACTGTGGCGACTGCGACTGTGATTGCGGCGATTGCGACTGTGATTGTGGTGACTGTTTTTGTTAATTTTATAAGTAAAAATATTTTCAGACTTTTTGTTTTAATTTTAATAGTTTTTATTATTTACATTATCAGATATATACGATTTTCTAAGCGGTTCATCAATGCGTTATGAAAATTTGGTGTTTCAATAATTAAATTTATTTTGTGAAAAAGACTGAAGAAATATTTCCGTAAAGTTAATCTTAAACTTAACTTAAGTTAATCTTAAACTTACAGTAATATTTATTAAGACCCTCCTGTCTACAAAGTGACCGCCGGGTGCCCGGAGCTTTTTTGGAATCTAGCAATAACTGATAGATGTATGTTGTGCTGCATTGAAAATTAGTCAGGGTCAAGTTATTATAATATTCACCCTGTATGTTCCAAAGATGTAAGGCCAATCTTATCTAAGACACCTGTAAATAGGGTAGCTTAACTCGAGTTAACTAGCCTCCGCAGAAAGGAAGAAAAATTAGTCGATTTATAACCTTGGATAATTTTGGGTTGACGAATTCAAGCTTCATTGAATCGCGGTATTATAGTTCTGAGAAAATTCCCACAAACCGGTAACGAAGTAACCATGTAATCATAATCACCTTTCACAAATTTTATTGCGTCTTCAACATAGATCACCGCCTCTTTCTCGCAAGTATCGTTGGGATAAAATCAGTTAATAGTACTCATAAAATTTATGTATCTGTTGGTAGGACATTCGAAATTCGAACACTGTTGTTTACATATCTCTTGAATCGATATAAATGGAAGATGAAAAAACAAATTTCTTACATAATGTATGAAAAAAATAAATATGTTGGGTTGTGATAGATTTGTAACGACCAGTGAGTTTTAATTTTATAAAAAAAAAAAAATAGGAAGACTTGTCAAGGCAGTTTTTCGTTTTACTGATATAATGACTGTGAGAGAATATAAGTAAAATATAAATAAACTAAGTAAAGACTAAAGTTTTTTGTGAAAATCTAATATGGAATGAATTAGTTTTTTAATGGCTATCTTTGTACATACAATAACCTCAGAATAAAACGAGGCTAAGTCTTAATGGAAAACAAATTGACACATCCATCGAACTATTTAGTGATAACTGATAACACTCCTATCTAACATCGTTTACGGAATTTTTAATGTATTGTCAACTCATCGAAATCACTGTTGTCGTTACATTCCTCTATTATCTTGTTTCCTTTTAAAAGGTCTGGCTTGCTTTTATTTGGTTCATGTTTAAAAATCTTCACTTCATTGAACTGTACTTACTCGTACACTGCATATATAGCCTAGAACAAAAATTATTATATACACGTTATCAACTCAAAAAGTTAGGATTGTTTTCAAATGACTCCGCGTTTCCTCTTATCATTGTTTTGTTCTTAAATTTGAAATCATATTTATGTAATTCGTTGTCATTTTAATTTTGCTAGTTTTAGTATTATTTTCAAATTTTTTACTGTTATATATTCTTCACAGATCGAATAAAGTCTGTTGGCAATTTAATAAACACGATTACTAATTTACTACAGCATTTCGCTGCGTTGTAGAATACTTCAAAGAAGTAAGGGATATTAAAATCATCGTCTCTAAGCCAAGTTTCGACTAATAAAGTAACATCGATGTCACAGTCAACAATATTACAAAGTGACCAGCATAAATAACACCCCTTATATATATGTCCTTAGCATAACAAGAACACTTACGTAAAATTTGTTGAAATGAAAATATATTTATTTTTTACACATTTAACGCAATTTAAAAATAAGGAATTTCAGAAAAAAAGCAATCATATTGACGGATGTGTCTGGAATATTTACTATTTTATTATCTGCCCCAGACAAGTATTGTATAATATACTATGCGTCAGAATAAATACGTAATATCAATTCATTCATGAATAAGAAAGATAACATATTACAAAGATTTATGTTATTGACATTCCTCCAAATACTTAAAAACGCATTATATTTTGTATTTGTTCGACTGCAGTAACTAATACTTGTTATTAGTGGGAGTGTTGTTGGAGGAGAAAATCTATTACATTGCTACGGTAGTTGAAATGGATGCAGTGGTATGTAACTAGAACAAACTATTTTTTTACTAATAGTCCAGTCAAATTAGCGATCAACCTCGGAATGAGAGATAATAAGCTGAATTTTCGTATATACCTTCATTTTAGCGTTCTAAATGTTGTCTCAAAAGTCTCATAAAATCTCGTGTCTGCGTCGTCAGTTATTCAAGGTCAAAGGTCAAGAAAAACAGTTTTTTCCGATTATCCCGGTTTCTATTGCTCCAATGATGTTAACACCTATTATCATAATTGTAGAGCACAAAGTTTGGGACAAATTTTATTTGAAACATTTTTTCATGCGCTCAATCGTTTATGAGATAGAGGGCAGTGAGCGCGCAGCGCTCATCCATACGTACTGTAATGCAATCAACCGTGAATATCTGTGAATACTATCTTGAATTTTGAATAATTTGTATTATTTATCAATTAATACGTTGTATTTAATACCATTTTACATATTTTTAATACATTCATTTAATTATACTTACCTACTTTGTGGAATTAAAAACTCTTTAAATGAAATACTTATTGTAGGTATATCTTAATTTATTGAAAGTAGATTTTAAGTAGAAAAATAATTAAGTACTTTATCTTTCAAATGTGTAAGTTTTTAGATATTAGATAATATATTATACTTGTTATATTATTATATATCTTAAAGTTATATTAATTTTTTCAAAGTAAATTTTAAGGAAGTAAAATGAGTTAATATATTTTAATTTTACCTTTGTTCAGGAGTTGTACATTTCTTACGATTGAAATTGAATTGCAGTGAAAATCTATAAATCTTTAATATTTAAAGAACAAAAGTATTAATTTTCTTCTTCTTCATCATCATCATCTTCGGTGCCCTGAATCGTTGTTTCCAGACCTTCCACAATCATGATAAAAAATAAGTATTTAAAACCTTACACATTTTAAAGATATAAATAAATTGAGCAATACAATAAGTATTTCATTAAATGAGTTTTTAATTACACAAAGTAGGTTAGTATTATTCAATAAATATATTGAAAATATGTAGAATGTTTAAATACAATGTATTAATTGATAAATAATACAAATTATTCAAAATTCAAGATAGTATTCAGATATTCACGGTTGATTGCATTACAGTACGTATGGATGAGCGCTGCGCGCTCACTGCCCTCTATCTCCTAAACGATTGAGCGCATGAAAAAATGTTTCAAATAAAATTTGTCCCAAACTTTGTGCTCTACAATTATGATAATAGATGTTAACATCATTGGAGCAATAGAAACCGAGATAATCGCAAAAAACTGTTTTTCTTGACCATTGACCTTGAATAACTGACGACGCAGACACGAGATTTTATGAGACTTTTGAGACAACTTTTAAAACGCCAAAATTAAGGTATATACAAAAATTCAGCTTATTATCTCTCATTCCGAGGTTGATCCCTTTTTTTTCCTAAAATGACTGGACTATAAATTTATATAACTTCGCAACATTTATTTAATATTTCTGTTCAGTTATTATCAGTATTTTCTATTTTTCAGTTCTCAAAATTTTTGTATATGTATGTAAACATTGTTTGCAAAAAATATTATCAATATTTAATACATATGTTTAGAGGCATTTATTACGAGCTTTATATAATATGGCTAATGTACCACATTATGTAGATTCCGTCATATGTTCAAAACAATATGGATAGCGTTCCAAATCCTCAAAGTACCGCAGACGCAACTGATGGATCTGAGAAACAGGACAAACGTATTGACGAGAAAGTAATCGTCAATCAACCCACTAGATCGAACAATAGTAAAACTGTCATATTTAACGACGATCCTACAGGAGTTTGTTTAATTTGTTGCTGTTTTTCCGATTATCATCATCATCATCATCATCATCACTATGACAGTACAGGTGGCAGTTGCTATACCTGTGACGGCGATGGTAGTTGTTGCGACGGTCACGGTGATTGCTGTGACTGCGATTGTGACTGTGACTGCGGCGACTGCGATTGTGACTGCGGCGATTGTGGCTGTGATTGTGGTGATTGTGACCTTGGAAATGGTGACTGTTTTTGTTAATTTTCGAAGTAAAAAGATGTTCAGACTTTTTTGTTGTAGTTTTAATAGTTTTTATTTATTTACTTATCACATAGGTCCCTGGACCCAGCAGCCCTTACAAAAAATTCTCTGAAAATTTTGGTTTTGGTGTTCGGAATTTGTATATAAAAAACCAGCCTTTCATCCTCAACCTGATTAGTGAGCTCTTCTTTTCCGCAAGTTCCAGCGTTACTAATTATATCATCAGCGCAACCTAGGAAAAATATGAATTTGAAGATATTTTAAGCATATTTTACCTTAGTGGTGACTGATTAACAATTTTTGATTTTGTTTATGGTGATCGGGATTTCTTTTGAGGAGAAAATTTAAAGATTTTCGATCTTGCGTCGTTGCCTGTAACTCCAATGACGTTTATGAAAACAAGAGTTCAACACGAATTTGCACATGTACTGAGCTTTCGTATTCAAATACTTGTTCAGCCTGACGATAAAATTAGTCTTCTCGATTCTTTAGTCCTAAAGGACGATGACACAAACTACCGGGTATTCTTTACTTTTGGCGACGTTTGCTTTAAGTGTAAAACGGCCGGTCGTTCTGCTAACGACTGCCCGATTGAAGTTGAAACTCCTCAGACTCCGATTACAAAATCTGTTACCACCATTAAGGATGTAGTTGAAAAGAGGCAATTAGGAGAGGCCGAAATTCTGGATCTTACTGGTCGTACCCATAAAAGGCACAACCATCCGGTCAAAAAGATCAAATCAAGCGATTCGTGTGAAAGTTGGACTCCAGTAAACGACTTACTTGCTCCAGGTAAAAACTTAATAAGTAGCGCCAGAAAGTACCCACTGAGCTATGACCAAACGACCGAGTTTATGGACAAAGCCCTGGGCAGCAGTGATGTTTTAGGGTTGATACAGACGTATACCGAAGACGTAGACGG